TCTAATGTGAGAAAAGTAAAGCAGGAAATATGATACACAAGATTCTGGAAAAGAGAACACTAGATTTGAATTTTTAAAAAGGTATAAATCAGGATCAGACTACGAATGTCAGCTGTTTGTATACCATAGTTTTGCTACAATAAATAGCTGTGTTGTTTAAGTCTCTATCTGTTATGCCTACCAAGGACAGCCAGACGGGTTGTCTGATGTTTCAAAAGAATAGTTTAAAGAACTTAGATTAGTTGGATCTTGATCTAATTCAGATTGGCATTTCTCATATAAAACTCATCTAGTTGTATTAAAACCCAATAACCCCAAATAGCTGTATTTTTATTGGACACTGCATTCAGATAATTATTGTACAGAATATCTTACTGAAATCTGTTCCAGGCTTGTTACTGGAAACAGGAGACTTTGGATTAGATTCTCAGAGTCTAATAGGAATTAGAAATTAACAGATTTCATTTTTACTGAACTCTTATACACCCTGAGATGCTTTAGAAATCTGAATAAACACTTTAAACTACTATATAATTCTTTACACTTGCATGACTTGTTAGTACTGTGAAAAGAAAGGTTAGACATGCAGCAGAGAGATTTTATTTAGGTAATTTCCCAATCTAATTTAGTCTCCCCTTGAGTGAATACAGTGAATATGAAGATGTGCTGGTATTTGTGTGATAACTGATAATGCAGAGCAATTGGAAATCTAGAAGCCCAATCTGACAGATTGAAGGGATGAAAAATAATGGGTTAAAAAAAGAATTTTGAAAGTTTATTGATTTTATACATAAATTACATTTAACTATTTACTGTTCAAACTAAGCTGCTGTTCAAATAATCCTGGCTTTCATTACCAGAGTAGGATGGACCAGAAGGGCAGTAATTATGATCAAAAATGACCCCAGGATTTAATAATTGAAGGATTCATCAAGTTTAATGGCGATTAGTGGATTTCAGGGGAAATTATTCATTTCAATATTCAAAGCAATATATTTAATTATATTTAAAAAGAGCAGAATCCTGTAATCAAATGTTTTTATAAACATGTAAATAGTTATATTACAAAAATATAATATAGGGACTTTTCGTAGGTAGTCCTTGGGTTACGACCATTTGTTAAATAACTGTTCAGAGTTAAGATGGCACAGAACAACTTATGGATGGTCTGTGAAGTTGCATCCATTGTAGCATTCCCATGGTCATGTTATCATGATTCAGGCACTTGGCCACCAGCTCATAGTTATGATAGTTGCAGTGTTCTGTGATCGCATAATTGCTATTTGTGACCTTCCCTGATAACTTCCCACAAGAAAAGTCAATGGGAAAATTGACAGAAGGTTGCAAGTTAATCCTGCTGCTTTATTGCCTGTCCATCCCTGTACTCCTTAGTGACCCCAGCACCCACTCACATGCCCATGCAGTGTGTTTCCCATCTGTGACATCCATCTACCCATCTACCCATAGTTTGCCTAGTACTCTACCTCATCCCATATTACACCCCGTACATGAGGGTTTTGGGATTACAATGACAACTAGGATTGCCATTGCTAAGCAATGCTTTCATGTGATATCATGGTTTATGACCACATTGCTTAGCGATGGACATTCTTATCCCAATTACCATTGTAACCTGAGGACTACCTGTAGAGACCTTTTTTTAAAAAAAAAATGCAACCTGATGAGGCTACTTTCTTAAACCTGATGTGAGGAATGTCTAGATGTGTGCTCTGTTTGGAAATATGAAAATAACGCTGCTGCTGCTTTAATGAATAGCATTAAATAGGCTTTAGTAATTACTAAAAAAAGATGATGTGTTTGGTCAAAGACTGAAGCATTTTTTCTGAGGCATTTTTGAAATGTCTACAATTCTACTGTGAAGGAAAATAAGATAATGAAATAAAGGGAAGCGAGTAAGGAACAATTCTGGTCCAAGACATATATGCTTGAATTACATTTAAAGATGAAGAATACTAATACTAGGAATAGACAATAACTGTACTAAATCAAAATCCTATGAAGCAAACATTTGTAAGCATTCTGGCTCAGGTGTTTAGGAATTTGCTTCATCTTTTTATTTTTATTTCTTATTTTTTTCCAAAATATTATTTTATCACACTGCCATAAGACATTGAGGTTATTTATTTTAGACAAAGCTCTAATTTATAAACACATTTTGCAACTGGAATCTTGTTTGAGGCAGTAAATGTCTGCTCTCTGAGTTAGTGGATTTTGTTTTGTAATAGATACCATGTTTTTGACTCCCTGTAGCAAATTATAACTAACTGTGTTGTTTACTGCAAAACTGTTTGGGGATTCTACTGTGTTAAATAGAGCATTTGATTTCCTGTGTGAAACCAGAACAAGAAAATTAAAGTGTTATTTTTTTTCTACTTACTATCTCAGCAGAGAAAAGTAAAATATATCCTGCTCAGATTGCAGCATTTCGGTTTGTATCAAATATCTGCTTGAAGGTTTACTATGAATATTATGATTTTTTTTTACATGTAGTGAATTACTCAGTACAAGACAACACTTGGGATTTTATAGCTTTTTGACTGCAATTTTATACATACATATTTGAGAATAAATCTCACTGAATTTAATGGGACTTCTGAGAATAGATGGCTTGTACTCAGTCTTGTCATTGTTTTGTTCTTCTGGAAAGTAAGTTACCTGACAAACACTGTTTTATCTATATACTACTAAAACTCTCCTATCTGTTTATCTGTTTGTAATCTTCAGTTAGTATCAATCAGAATCAACGCATGAATGACATATATCAAATGAATCAAGTACCTTAAATCTGCTAACTTAAAGAATGTTCAGAAAATCCAGGATCCATTACTTATGTGTAATTGAAATTTCAAGGATCTTCACACTACTTGTATTCTCAAAGTTGTGCATGTTGCAGTATTGCCACGGTCACTGATTTCCCACAGTCCCTGCCAGCTTCCCAGCAGCAAAGTCACTGGGAAAGCTGGTAGGAAGTTGCTCTTGCTCTCACTGCATTTTTGCCTACTTCTAGTCATTCTGAAACTGTTTAGGCAAGGAAATATCTCTTAAAGGATGACCCAAAATATGTTTTATGTTCAAGGATATATGAATATAAACTCATTTAATTTTCATACCTGAGATTAAAAAAAGACAAAATGACTTACACAATTACACCCACAACAAAACACACTCTCCCATCCTGTTTGGGAAGCATGAAATCAACAAAGGGGAACATATTCCCAAGATTCTCAGCTTTCATGTCACCCCACTTTTTAGCAAGAGATAGGATTTGCCAGCATCTCTTCACTGTCCTCTAAGAAAGCTGGGCTCCAAACTGGGCCAGTCTTCTTTCCTTTCCTTTTAACAAGAGAGATGCATTAAGTTTTTCCAGTCACCCATTTTTCAGCAGAATTGTTGAAGTTGGCCACACTCACATTTCAGTTCTGGCCTTTGATATACTACACAAGACATGATTTGATTCTTGTGTTTGGTAGGAAGATATAAACAGTTTAGATATCAAGGTGTTTAGTATACTTGGTATGTGGTAATAACGGGTCTATTTATGAGAAGAACATGGAGTTGGAAAGACAGAAGTGTGTTAAATTTGTAATTCAACTCTTTCTGAATTTTGGACTATTTTTTTAAAAAAATTACCCTGGTAACTATTTTAGTTAAAATCCACCATTATTTTTTAGATGTAATACAAAGCAGAACATTGATGAAAAGACTGAGCTACATAAGTCTGAAAGACAACATAGTACTGTTGTGCCCATTTTCAGGGTAGCAGGAGTGGTGTATAACAACTCTGCAGAGTGGTTTAGTACAGAAAACCTCTAAAAGTTGACCACCCAAGGGACTGAAGGAAAGTGGTCAACATACGGAACAACTGTACTAATATGTACACGTGCCTCATTTTATTGTACAGCTTTTATTAGAGAATATCATATAGAAACACACATAGTGAAAACACTATGTGTCTTATTCAGCTTTCTTATGGGATGAGGTTTTTTTAAGGAAACAATAATGAGTGTGTGCGTTTGTGTGAAGTAAACTCTGATTGCAATGAAATTTATTTAGGACCAAAACATTCACTGCACATTTGCTTTCTCTTATCTTCTAGGTGGCACCTTGTAAAACATAACTTTTTGAGGCAATTTGGCATATGACTCCTCATTGTCTTCTCATATATTTTTAAGAATTGAACTGGAAAGATATCCAGTTTCTTGCAGAGTAACTACGGTAGATAGCATAGGACTAGGACCAAGTGTTTGAAAGAAACTATAAAAAATATCGATCTGTCCAGCCAGCCAGCCACCCATCCACCCAAATTGATTGATTGAATAAATGTTATACTGTTGTTAATAAATATTAATATCAATGAATCAATATATGATATAGATTATATAATTATATGTGTGTTTATATAAATACAGTATCTTGTCAATTTTCTTTGTGCAGATTTATTTCTGGACAGAAATACAAATCATATTGTTACTCTTTCTTCACCACTTAAAACAGGGCTGGGTAGACCCAAAGATTGAATGTGCCCCTCAGTCCATTTTTTTGTGCCCCTCCCAAGACTGACTTCATCTACTCATTGTTACATTCCCAATAACTCTTGTTCATAAATGATTCACGGTCACAAAAGTTTACCCATTCCTGTTTTAAAAAATTTAATTGTCAAGGGAGCTCTATTTGGCTAGATGTTGTTTCACAAAGTAATTTTGTTTTGGAAGCCTCACCAATTTTTGTAGATGCTCATTTTCTTAACTAATCAAAATACAAATAAAGTAAAAAGGGATGTAACTGAATTAAAAGAAAAAATGTAAATATGTAAACATAATGTTTACTTTTTAACACAGGTGGAAAATGTATTTTTTTATAGTTGTGATCTACATTCCTAAGCCAGCAAACTGCATCAAATAAACTGAGTATGCATTGTAAATCTATTTAATTGACATTTTATTTTTTTTCTCCCTCCCTCCCCACTCTTCCCACTTTAGAAAGGAACGGCTACTTAGGTGTTCTCAATGCAAAGTTGCAAGATACTGTGGTGCACACTGTCAGGTAATTATTTTGAAGCATAGATGGACAATGCAACATTCAAATTTTTTAGCTGGTGAAATTATTTTCTAATTACATAATCCTACTTGAATTGGGGTACTATCAGGCCCAAAGAACCAAGAATGACATGTGGAGTTACTTTTGAGTAATTCCTTTACTGCTGCTCATCTACAAACAGAATCTTGCCAGTCTGAAGTAATTTTCTG